AAAAATAATATATATATTTATTATATATATATATATATATATATATATATATTAATATAACATTAATATAACAATTAAGTGATTATCTGATTCTGTAGAAGTAGATGCGGAGTTTTTTGAAAGGATGGAGAAAGAAACGAAAGAAGAAATAACAAAAGGAAAAGAAAAAGATATATTGAAAGCTAGATTAAATAAAATTGATGACGATATAACGTTTGCACAATTAAGAGTGGAAATTGAGAAACGTGATGAAATAATAAGTCAATTGAGAACCGAAGTACATACTCTGAAAGAAGAATTGACACAAGTTAAAGAGAGAAATAAAAAGCTTTATCAGATATTGTCACATGGTGAGAGTAAGTATTGCATTTCTACGAAATTGCTCAACTTTGTATTTTTATATTTTTATATTGTATTTTATATTTTTTGTAATCATTCTTTTTTCTTTTAGTGAAAGATAAAGCATCAGTCTTGGCTGAAGTCGCAAAATTACAAGAAATACGAGACGAGCTGACATCTGAAGTTGCTTCTCTGCATGCCCAATTGGAGCAAGAAAGATCTAAAACACGTACATCCAGTACAGATGTAAAGACATCTAAACAAACTGTAAGATTCACATGTTTTATTGATTTTTCTTGAAATTAGAAGATTCTATATTTAATATATATTGTGTATTTCAGAACAAGAAGAGGCCGGCCAGTGAAAATGCCTAATTCGCTTTTCGCGAAAACTACTATTGTGATCTATAAATTTTAATTAATACCGTACATATTGATTAAGTAGCAATTTGAAATGAAGGAATATTATATTTGTAAAAAGGAAATTTGTTTTCTCATACAACATGTGTTGTATTAATTCATTATAGATAAGTTAAAGATACGTCAGATAGCAAGATAGTTTTCCTTCCACGAATGATATATTGTGCAAGCAAGATTAGTGCGGCCTATGTGTCTGCATTTTATTTCTGTTTTCTTTTTAAATGATCGTAATGCATACTTTATTTTTCATATTTTTTACTTTAAGTTAAATATTTTTTGAAAACATTACATTACAGAAAATTTTCTGAAGAAATATTTGTTAAAGCTCTTCCAAATAAGTATCTCGTAACGTATTGTATTATCTTCCGAATTGTATATTGGTATACATACACATTCGTGTGAACATAAATATATATATTTATATTCACATATGTACACGGATGTAGAGGTATGCTAGTTAATATACATATTATATTACGTAAAATATTTTGTAATAAAATATTCTACAGAACATATGTTGAACATTTTTATTCCTTTCATGTTTTTATATACTTCGGCTAATATATTTTTATTGCCTGATCTGTAAAATAATTCGTGTAAAAAATTGAACATTTAATGTGGAAAGGAGAATTTTACATGTTATTTCTTCGATAGTTTGATAGGTATTACTCCATAATGTTTATTCTA